CCCAACACTACGTGACAGTATGCACAAACGTCTCCATACAAACCATGCCCACACTACGCGCCTATGCAAAAACATATGATGAAAACCATGCCCACACTACGTGCATATGCACAAACATCGCATACAAACCATGCCCACACTACGTGCATATGCATAAACATCTCATACAAACCATGCCCACACTACGTGTATATGCACAAACATCTCATACGTTAGCGAGGTCAAACATCCCGTCCAAAACGTTCGGCAGTGCAAAGTAGGGCCGGAGATCTTCATCCGTCAGACCAAATAGTGCCTGTGTGGTATGAGACAGTCTCAATTTGAGTATCCGATACTTGCATAGCGAGGTGATGTATGTACGTCTATGTGGTACAAAGGCATACCAATGCATATGCTGACTATATTTTTTTTTTGCATGTATCAAGCATAAGTGTGCTATACGCGGGATGTCATACACTGGAATGATATATGTACGACAAAATATACTATTTTGAGTCACTCAACGTCAAGGGTGGATGTGGGTTTTAGAACGCATCAAGATAAAACCATATCACGTGCCAAGATAAAACCAAATCACGTGCCAAGATAAAACCAAATCACGTGCCAAGATAAAACCAAATCACGTGCCAAGATAAAACCAAATCACGTGCCAAGATAAAACCAAATCGCGTGCCAAGATATAACCAAATCACGTGCCAAGATAAAACCAAATCACGTACCAAAATAATACCAAATCATGTGCCAAAAATCGCATACAGAAATTAGACAAGAACAACCAAAGATAGATCAACGAACGAAGCAACAAAACTAGAGAACGTACTAAAAATAGAGCAAAGAGCATACCAATTTCTGCTTCTCGGCCCAGTAAGACACATCCCACAGTTGTAGGTCACCGTTGTGCCTAGAAGTGTTATTGTCGGTTTTTGCGGTGAATTCTCACGATTAAGTACATGCATGCGACGGGAAAGCTTGCTATAGCAAGTCGCATGTACGTCAAATATATCATTGAGGTATATATGCTAGAAGATACAGAACCACGATTCACTGTTGTGCCTAGAAGTGCGATAGTAGTTTCAAACCAGGTCCCACGATCGCGTACATACATGACATATGACGGGGAAGCTTGTAATACAAGGTCGCAAGCAGGTCTGATTTATCATTGCAACATTGCAGTAGACTCTCAATAATACATCCTACTACCCCTCGCCGCTGTACCTGAGAGTGCGATAGGCGTTGTTCACGTGGTTCAGTCGTAGAGTGATATCTCTAGGTGTAGCAACATGCCAATACTACACGCAAAACACCCACTCTGGTGCTATAACTCTTTCTATTGCGCCAATTCTACGACTGGCAAGGGTGATATCTCTAGATGCAGCCGCGAAGTGTTACCATGGCAACCCAACATACCCATTCTGCTGAGAACTCTTTCAATTGTGCAAATTCTATGACCGGCAAGAGTGATACCTCTAGATGCAGCCGCGAAGTGTTACTATGGCAACCCAACATACCCATTCTGCTGTGCGAAATCTTTTTATTGCGCCAATTCTATGACCGGCAAGAGTGATATCTAGATGCAGCCGCGAAGTGTTACTATTGTAACCCAACATACCCATTCTGCTGTGCGAACTCTTTCAATTGCGCCAATTCCTTGACGGCAGCGGGACGCGATGCGGCAAAGAGGGGTTCCAACAGATCATTCACATTGGTTACATTCTGCGCCATTTTCTTTGCCAGTGACATCTGTATTGCCACAGGGTAGGCGTTAGGTATCTTTCGAGATTGATTCTATACAAGCGCAAATTCTGCACATTGATTGCGTGTCTCGCCATTGCTTTTGCCAAAGACATCTGTAGCATTAGCGGAGGGTGGATTTGACTTCTAAGTGGAGAAAGAAGATAAGAGCATTTAAAAAGATACCAACAGATCATTCTACTATTTACATGCTTCGCCATTTTCCTTCCAGAATCATCTGTGACTTAGAATGTGTGAGTGAGTAAGTCGAACGAGAACTATCTTACACCGGTGAACGCAAAATTAGCCGAGCAATTGCGCCTCCTATTGATGGTATATAAGTACGATGAGAAATATTCAGGCAGACATATTCTGTTCTACAAACACACCTATACACACAGTGAAACACACACAAACACAGTGAAACGCAAACAAACACACAGTGAAACACAAACATGCACACAGTGAAACGCAAACAAACACACAGTGAAACACAAACATGCACACAGTGAAACGCACACAAAACATACACACACGCCAACAAACACATATATAATAGCACAACCAGTTCTTGAACAACGATACGAAAAACCACAGCCAGAGTGTATGTATGGGTTATCCAAGTCCACGCGACCTTGCATCAGGTTGCTGGCTATAGCCGATCATCCATATGCCCGATGTTCAATTGAAATGAAAAAGGCGACGACTAAACACAGTCGGTCATTGAGTGCGCAATGAACTAACAGAACACAGCCACATCGCTGTACGTATCATCCGCCGAGCATATGCACCTTCTCTTGACAGAACTGCAAGATCCGCTTGATGAAGGTCGTGTTATCAGATACACACATACAAACGTATGCAGTTTTCATACGGAAGTAAATATACGTATATGTGTATCCACTCCAACATACAAACGCAGCAGGTAAAACATAGCCAGCAAGTGCGTGCACGCTGAATTGATTGGAAACGGGCTTACATCGGTGTACGTATCATAGCCGAGCATTTGCGCCTTCTCTTGGCGTAATTCCAAAATCCGCTTGATGATTGGAGCGTTGTCGTAGTTCTGCCCTTCAGTCTGGCATATGAAAGAGAAAGAAAACAAAGAAATTGACCGTGTGTTATGGAGATGTGCGATTAACCGTGTTATATATATATATATACATATATATATATATATATATATATATATATATATATATATACTATATATATATATATATATATATATATATATATATATATATATATATATATATATATATATATATATATATATATATATAATA